ACATTTAAAATATGTTTCATATGTATCGCAAATATGGTGCATGTATTTCGATTTTGTCACTTGTCTTTAGGAGTCCTTTAAAATTATATATTAGGTCTTTTCCACTGTTGAGAGTTTTACGATTAGTACACACTACTAATGTTTTTTTCTGCTTTATTACGAATAATGACCGCTGAAATGTTTTCCGCAGGTGTCTGGCAGCACCGAATTTAAGTTAGAAAAGCTACTTCCTTAGCTGCAAGAATTTAAAGCTTTAGAATTTAAATTCTATCGTCCAATTAAGCTAAAGCGCTAACTTCGGATTTCTTACAGGGTTCATTCAGTATCGAGCATTCTTAACAATCAAATGCATTTTGGTAAAAAGGAAAAGAACTGGAATAGCATCGTTTCATAACTTTACTTTATGCAAATGGAGCACGCGAAGGATTTATCTGAGAACTGTCTTTTATATTGATTTGCTATAAATTATGGCCATATTTCAATCGGTGTCCGCCGATAACATCGCGGCAAAAACCTCGCAGACGAAAACGTCGCGGAGAAAACAACGCAAGGAGAAAACGTCGTGCTGCAAAACATCGTGGGTGAAAACATCGCAAAGAGAAAACATCGCAGTTCTAAAACATCGTGGTACAAAATACCGTCGTAGAAAATAAAGCGGTTCAAAAACTTCGCAGTTTGAAAACATTATGGGAATATCCATATACAGTTATGAAAGAATGTCTGCGAAAAGCATGTCTGAAAAAAAGCATATCTGTTATCGTCATGCGACGATTTGCAGATACTTTATTTTTTACCACGATATTTTCGACGACGATGTTTTTAAACTGCGAAGTTTTTGAACTGCTTTATTTTCGACGACGATGTTTTGTACCACGATGTTTTAGGACTGCGATGTTTTCTCTTTGCGATGTTTTCTCCCAGGATGTTTTGTAGCACGACGTTTTCGCCTTGCGTTGTTTTCTCCGCGACGTTTTCGTCCGCGATGTTTTTGCCGCGATGTTTTCGGCTGTAACCTTTCAATCAGTCACGTATTGATCGCAATTATAAATCAGTGAAAGACCGCGTGGTTTAACCCGGCGGAAGTCGTACTAGAGTGGAAGAAGTTACTAGAGTGGGCGCGTGGGGTATCACATATCACAATATTTAAAATACAATAAAAATAGTATTATTTAGTTTTAAAACTTTTTTTTTGTTCTCGTGCATTATAAATAAGTGAATAATAATTGGGTTTCAAAAAATTAATTTCCGAAATAATCTTAGAGTTAAAATTAAGATAAATGAAAATAATAAACATCATGCCTCTAAGTTTCATTGCATCTCTAATGCACCATGCTTATTTTATTTCTTCACACTTTGAATGAAATAAATTCATCTGTTCTTGGCACAGAATGCTTTCACATTTTAAACTGCATTCACGTTCTTCTGTCCTTGGCGAGAGGGCAAAAAATTTAACACATCTTTCATACTTAATTGTTTCGAATTTCATGTATTCGTTTTAATTCTTCATCGAAACTTCTGCTTTTGTTTTGCATGCAGTACGTCAATTTCTTAGAAAAGTATTAATCTCTGATCTTTGTTCAATACTTTTTTTCATTAATTGTAATGCTAAGTTCTTCAAAAACAGACTTCTGTTTCTTGTTGGTGGATCAGCAGTTGAGTGTAATATAATTCAAGCATTTATTACAGCAACATTCAGTGCAGGAAAGAAAATTACCATTGGCCACTTTCTTGTTATTCTGGCAATTGAATAATTGGCTGACATTTCATCCCCCATATCCACTGCTCGTTTAGTCATATTATTAAAACATTTAATTCCTGACGTTTTATTTTCTCCAATAGTATCATCTACAGTATGATCGTTATATAATGTTGAAAGCATAAGAACAGTTTTTCCTTTTTTAGGAACATCAGGAATTAATGTTTTATCTTTTTCGAAACCAAAACATTGTACAAAATATTCTTAGTTTCATCTTTAGTTTCCGAAATGCAATCTTTATCGCTTTCAAATATTTCTAATAAATCTCACATGCGTTGCATCTCCAATTCATAATGACTCATTCTTTTTACCATAATGCAGTTAGAAATTTTTAAGAATTTAATGTCAAGTACTTTAAAATCACTTGCGAGTAGAAATATTTACTGTTACACTCTAGAAATAAATTTCTGAACTAAATATTCAGTCAGAAAAACACTTACACGGACAGGCGCGTGGGGTGTGTCACACCCCAGTTCCAACAAAATACCGATAAATCTTTTTCTGAAACACACAGGCAACGAAAAAGCGGTTCTGAAAGTCAACCACAACTAGAAACTCAGCTACTGAAAGCAACACATAATTTCAGTTTCACAAGTTAGGAATATTCCACTTTTATGTAGAGTTGGGGTATGATACACCCCACGCGCCTTCCCGCTGGTTAAGAACACTTTGATTATACTTCACTACTAAGAAGATATCCATGTGAAGAAAGTTGTTTTACAGGAAGAAAGTAAATCGGGCATTTTTAAAAGCAATTACAAGCGGTGAGAAGAGGCTTTTAATTACTTTGAACTAAGGTAAGAATTATTAAGAGCAAAAATTAAAATAAGAAGAAAGAAAAAACAACAAATAGTATCGGACAGTTCAAGAATATTTGGGAGTCCAAAACGTTAAATTTTTCAATAGTTTGAGGAGGCTGAAAAGTGACTACAGCTTACGATGGAACCATCTGAAAAAATATTTAATGATGCTTTAAATGATACCCAGCGGATCACTAGAAGAATAAGATAGATGTGTACATAATATGGCTATATTCTTGATTCTACGTAGGGATTTCAAAAGTAATAAAAAATCGACTATGTTAAAAAGAGAAAGGAAAAGTAGTTAATTATATCAGACTGAATCAGAGAAGGCTCTGAGTTCCATTGGATGAAACCACAACTTATTTGATTCCAGCTTCTATTGTAATAACTATAATTGTACTTTTTGGTGATTATGTACTTCTACTATACTTATCATAATGCCTGAAGTATGTAAGAAATTGCTATGCAAGAAATGCCTCTCAGACATTTGGATTGATCAGCAATAATGTTCTATAGATAATAAACATTAACACTTAAAACGAAAGAAATGTAAAACAAATTCATTCTAATTTAACCAACCGTAAAAATTCCCTGCCTGAAAATATCGTGCGAACAACTCACATTTGAGTATAAGAAAACTCTTTAATTATTAAAAATAGAGATTTAAGCTGTGAATACAAATGGTTTTCAAAAAGCAAGAATGCTGTTGCATGTTAATTAGTGAACAACTGGTTAAACTCACATTGCCTAGTACTCCCCATAAGAGATCACACACTGTACATTTTGATGACAAAAGCAAAACTATGATTGTCTGTACATGAACATTTATCTCTGCATATATGACGAGGTGAAAGTTTGCGAAGTCACTAATATCGATAATGAAATATGGGACGAGACAAAATGCAAGATATTAATGTCATAATCTTCGCACAAGAAAACGTTGAAACTTACCCCGGTCAAAACTTGATTTATAACAGAAACAAAGTAAGAGAGTAAGAGATGTACGCTACAGTTTTAATAGCTACAGGCTACCTTTGTGCTTATAGTACTGAAACTGCATAAAATAGAAATTAATAGTCAAAATTTAGAACCTAAACAGTCAAACATTCGAACAGTCTTGTGTAAATTTCTAAATCTTTGAAAATGAGATTCTAAGTAAAGGACAACAGAAGTTTGCATAGGTCTTATCAGAAAATAATTTCCGAAATGTTGACAGCAGCTCTGCGAAAGGGAAAGAAAGGAGACTTTTTGCCAGTTTTCCACTGCACTTAACATTTCAAAGAAATACGCTGAAAGCAGATATTCCGGAGAGATCCTTTCTTGACAAATATCAATTTTATCTAAAATTTTTTGACATTATCGACAAAGCCTCTTTTAAAGGTAGCATAGGCATTCAGTTCAGATTGCGCGAAACATTTTAAATTACAAATATGATACTTTATTAGAAAATAATAAAACTTTAAATTTTGCATTCGAAAACTGGATATTTATTCGACGATGACATCTCCACAGAAAGTTTCAGTTTCAAATGAATACACACAACGATTTCTATCAGTTTCATATACCGCTTTACAGTCAACTCAGTCAGAGACTGAAAAACTGAAAATGAATGCTGTAATCAGTTGAAATGAATTTTTGTTAGGAGACAGAACTTGCTCACCACCGGTGTCAACACGTCAAGAAAACTGCAATAATAGTTTGCCACAATATCCCCCAAAAAATAAGTAAACCAAAGTGGAATTTCCTTTCTGTAACAAGAGTTAAAGCATAATAAATTAATCAATGCAACTAAATACAAGCAAGATTACTTTTCTATGGATCTCATTATGAATTTGTTTTCTTCATATTTCTAGACTGTTTTAAAACATTCATTTGCGCAATATATAGAAACGACGATGATTGAAGTTAATGAATTAATTAAAGTAGAATTAAAATAAATTCTGCCATTGTAAAAGTAAAAAAAAATCAAAATTAATTTATGAAATTGCAGAATTTAGAAAAGGGTAATAAATTAAAGGCATAACAAATTTTTCAATATGAAGAATTAAAAACTGAAATGAAATTTTATTTCTCTTGAAAGCATTTATAAACACCTCGGTTTACTGATAATGCTCTGAATACTTACCATCCTAGCGTTTGCTCAGCAATATATATTAAAATGCATTTCCAAAGAAAATCAGAAATTGTAGTACACTAAACTGCTCAGGAACTGTTTGTTATCTGTAAACTGTAACTGGAATACGCAACGTATTTAATTTTGCAGCAAAAATTATGAGAAGCACTCATTTTACTGGCATGCTTAATCTTGTGAAATTCATTGAAGCCAAGCTTCAAATATGAAAAGCACTTCATTTTGTTTAAAACGGAACTGAATCTTTTTAAATGCTATTTTCCAAAATTACATTTCATATGTTTAATAACAGAAATTGAACAATACTTGCATATGCTGAGGTACTTCTGATGATTCGCTGTGAATTCGGGCCAGATGACTCTCTCATAGCGCCCTCTAGCAACATCCATCTGCAAAAATCCTAATTGAGTTCCTACGTTTGGATCTCTGAAAGTACAAAAGAAGCAGACGTCAGTTCAAGATTTATTTATCGAAAGACTTTTAGATCTGTTTAATAATACTGTTGTTAGCATCAATAAAAATTCCCCTTCAAATCATTAATAAATGTATCTGAAGTATTAAAAATGTATAGTAATATTACTTAAATGAGTTATTAAATAACAAAGCGTTTTGGGGAATAGAAAAAGAATTAACTTTTACAATTTAAATAACTTTCAACTAATAAAAAGGAATTTATACTTTTTATTTCATTATTTTTAGCTTAATATATGTATATATATGTTACGGTGAAACACCAAAATCTGGAGAATGTCGACTTTCACCGGTGAATGTCAAAATTCACATAGTCGCTTGGTGTATGTGCGAAATATTTTCCAAATACTCTTATTTCTGACTTGCCGGTGAATGTCGACATTCATCATGTACTAGTGGTGAATGTTGAACATATAACAATATTATATTTTCTTCTCCGTAATTTATTCGCGAAAAAAAGAATAAGAACTTAAGAATATAAGAACTTAAAACACACAGTACATTCAAAATGAGAAAAGAAAATAATAGAAGTTATAAACTTACCAAATTATGTGATTCAAATCTTATTTATTGCAACAACTTAAACTATTATTAAATTAATTAATTTACTATTAAATGCAGTTGTAAAAGCAAGGGACTCTTGAATTGCACAAGAGTCCCTTGCTTTTACAACTGCATTTATTTGTGGAACACTTCCTTTTGGAATGGCAGCGTGTACATATACTCCTCTCTTTTGGAACTACACCAGAGCATATCTGTGATTGTCGACATACACCGGTGAGGGTCCGAATGTAGAAGAAATATAAAGAAATATTCGATCTTTCACCGACGTATTTGGTGAATGTTGACATTCTCCGGTGAAAGTCGACATTCTCCAATTTCGGTCTTTCACGGTAACATATACATATATAATGTAATAAAAACAAACTCAGAAGTTTATGGCTAGCAGGAATTTTGGTGACGTAGAAGTGTTGATCCATAATGAATAGGAAATTGGAGGCGAAGGCAGATTAAATCTTCATTTTTTTATTTCAGCAAAACATGTTGCGGCCACAAACAAGCTATCACATTAAATGGGCCTATCCCAAAAAGTTTACATTTTAGGTAAATTTGCAATAAGAAAGAAGAAGCACACCCGCTGCAGTCCAGCTAAGCCAAAGCGTAAGAAGCAAGTGCGTATGTTCAGGGTGAAATCTTAATTCAGACTGAGTGAGTTTTGGTCCTCAATTCATTTTGATTGGATAGTAACTGTAAAATTATTATTGGCTGCTTGAGTTTTAGTTCCATTTACATCATCAGAATTATGTAAGAGTCATATGGCATGGATTAGTCTCAAAATGACGCAGTGCAAATAGAGGTTACTATATTTAGAATAGAGAAGGAAATTAATTTACGCTGCTTATTTAATCTTTTACATATTCTTTATTTTTCTTACATATATTCAAAATATATATGCATTCTAAATATATATTCTAAATATATATTCTTCTAATATATATGCATATTTAGAATCGCCTTTTTTATCATTTCCTATAGTAACACTCAAAATAATTCAAAGTTCTTAAGAATAATTCAAAAGTTTTTAATATTTAGTTAAAAATGATATTTATCAGTACATAAAATTTTAACAGCTTTCTCTAAATGAAATGTTTGAAGAAATTTCCCACTAAATTCATCCATCATAACTATTCAAGAGTAAATTTTTAAAACATAAAATTTTACTTTAAGTTAATTTTGAAAAGAACATCATTACATATTCATTGTTAGCAACATTTTGATTGATGATTACATAAAATATTTCGAATTGCATTAGGTAATGCATAAATTTCATATTTCATAATAATGAAAAATATTTAGTGTGCACTATTAACAATGTTACACCAATTAATGATCTCAACATTTGATAAATTCAATTTGATTCTCTGATATTTTTATCCATGACTTCTGAAAATAACAAAATAAAACTGCAGAACTTTAAACTAAAGCACTTGATGTAAAAATTAAAGTCTCTAGCATATTTATCCTATCTTGTTGAAAATTTGAGCGTTTATCTTGTTCAAAAGAATCACGGTTTATTCTGTCGATAATATCTGTTAATGTATGACATCGAAACCCGGAATGGATGAAGAACATGAAGCTAGAGACTGGAACAATTCTAACTTTAATTTGCAGTATCCAGTTGGCTATGCATTTTAATTTGGTTAGGTCCCCTTTTTGTTATAAAATAGTAAATTCTTGCAACAAATCTCTCTAAACTGTGTCCTTTCAAAGTAATCCATGTTAAAAGATTTTTGCATAGCGCTGATGATAAACATAATGCTTCAGCCAGAACTCGTGTTCAAATTTACGAACCGACGAAATCTGATATTAATATCTCAAAATAAAGCTAAACTGAAAAAAAAAAAATCTGAAAGGTTTCAGATTTTAAATTACGTCCAAAGTGGCATTTTTTTAACTTTTTGTGTGTTACCTTTATTTATTAAATATCATGTTCTTTGCTCTTAAACTATAAAATTCAGTTCAATAAAAATGTCGCAAAATAATTTTAAAATGTGCATATCTTTAGAATTTCCGATACATAATTCGCGCGCTGGAGATAAAAAGGACTCTTTTTCCGTAGAGTGTTGCCATTGCTCTCTTTAAAATCCTCGAGTTTGTTACTCAAAAATTCGTTAAAGTTTTACAAAATATTAAATCGATAATAAAACAAATTCCAAATTTGGTCTTCCACATGCCCATATTCGTAGGAGGGTTACGTCATTCAAAATTCGATGGCTCTATGTACCGTTGTTTTATCACAATACGAGAAATATACATACATTTATGCAGAATTTTCATTATTTAATTTCTTCAAATATAATGCAGGACTCTAACATTTGGTGGCAACAGTTTGAAAAGTGAAACGGACATTTATAGTGACTCAACGCAAAATCGCAAAACAAAAAACAATAGTCCTTCAGGGACAAAGCCCCTTTGGACTAATAAAGCATTCTGAACCGGATGCTTATATTAGGTATTTCGCAATAATGAGATCGCTTCCGCACTGACAACTTACTTACTCTCCGTTACAATACTTTACTTCATCGAAATTAATTGTTTTGCAGATGCAGAAAATTCACAAAAGCTTCCTCGTTTACAACACCTGCTGCCTTGCATATCTCAAATTAAAAATTATACTCAGATATAAAAAGAAATGTGTTAAACTGGAGTGATTGCTAATAATTTTACTGCACTGCTATCGATCCATCTGTAAATCATGTTCTGCGTTTCGTCATTAACTTCTAAACGAGCACATATATAGATACCAAATAAGGTCACACTTGAGTCCTTCAATATAAAACTGCAAAAACTGACAGCATCATTTTTCAGTTTCTTTTAAAGAACAGGATATTTCTGAATATCGAATTCTAGAAATTTAACCTATATTCAAAGGAGACTAAAGATGTTGTTGTAGAATGTTTTCAGAGATAACTTTTATTATAAGAAAATGGTATATATTTAACAAAACACATTTATGGATAACTGCATGTGATTAAGAAAGGAATTAATGTTAAAAGCCTAAAATGTTTTTTTCTAAATTTAGTTAAACGTTTCCGCGAGTAACAAAATATTTCAGAATTATCCTGCGTTAGTCAATGTTGCAGTCCTTCTAGCGGTAACTATTTGTTAACCGCGAAAACGTTATCTTGTAGAGTTTTATGTTAATTTAATACACTTATTATTTAACTATTCTCATTTCTGTTTCGGCCCACTTCTATCAGGATAAAATTAGTTAACACATTTAAACACTGGGTTCTTGAGTTTGAGAAAAAATCAGCCTTCAGCAAATATCGTTGACCGTTTACTCTGTTGTATCTCTTAAATACTGAAATGTTTTATCCTCTTTAGCTTGGCTAGGCTCAATTGTTTACTGATATACTGAATAAATAATTCTTATTTAGGTACATATTACTTTTTATTGAACATTTCAATTCGGTTGGAATATTTGCTCGACACTTTTCTTTAAGTAGCGGCTTTTATTTTTATGTTATAAATAATATAAATAGCTCTTTTAATAGTTCGTTTAATGATGAGACTGAGAGGTAATTAAATAGTATTATTATAAATAATTATACGTGTTTGTGCTTATAGAAATAACACAAAATAGTCTACAGAAATAGCGGAGAACAATAAGCTGTCTGTCTCCTAACACAAAAATAGAACAATACGTTGTCTGTCTCCTTTTACAGTTCCTAGTAGTTATCATTTAAAGTAGAGTAGAACTACGCAAAGAGCAATATATTTCAATCACTGATATATAGATTATATCTAACAGTAACCGAAAATAAAAAATAATTTTATTGAATCATGCTAATTCAAAAACATGAATTAGCATCTTTATACTGCAGTTTTCACCGTGAAAGGTAATTTGAAATATTCTATACAATATTACTGAACCAGCTTTGCTTTTTTAAGTTGTCAAACGTAAACCTTCAGCACTAAAATGGTTTATATATTTGTAAAAGTTTAAGTTTACAAATATTGCCCAGATCTGAATTTTCATAACATTTGTCCGAAAGCATCCTGCTATTGATGATTCTTTACGGGTGCATTATGAATTATTCATAAATTATTCATATAAATTAAATTACATTAAATGTAATGAAATTGTATGAAACTATAACAAACACAAGTACGTAATTCGTCGATAACAATAACTACAAAATAGAACTAATTCTCATCGATATTGACTTCCAAATATGCTTCTTTAAGAGAAAGTTAAGATATCGCTATATCTGAAATACGCAGTACAAGTTACATGAAAGACCTTCATCATCCTAAGTCAGAGCATATCACGAATTTCTCTGAAGGATAATAATTGACATCCTTCCACCTGATTGGCACAAAAATGTTACTTTTGGAGTCTTCAGAGTAATTACTCACAACTTTGATACAGAACTAGGCAATATAAAGCT